GGCGGTCTCGAACCCGTGGGCTCAGGCCATCCACTCGCCTCAGCCTCCCAAAGGCGTGGGGTTACAGGCTGAGCCACTGAGCCTGGCTAATTTTTTTATTTTTAATTAGTTAATTTATTATTATAAAGATGTGGTGTACAATTCAGGGCCAGGAATACAAACATGGATCATGCGGGTACCCTCGTTGATGAGGCGTGCCCCTCCCTCCCCTGGCAGTTTCCCTCCACTGCCAGTCACCCCCTTCCCTTCCCCTGACAGTTTTCTGCTCCTGCCCATCCGCCTTTCCACAGCATTATCATTGTTCAAGGCTCTCTTTATTAACCAAAGACAAGTTGGCAGCCGGGCTCGGTGGCTCAGCCTGTAATCCCGCACCTTTGGGAGGCTGAGGTGAGTGGATTGCCTGAGCCCGCGGGTTCAAGACCCGCCTGGGCAGGCGAGACCTCATCTCTACAATAAATCAAAAATTAGCCAGGCGTGGTAGTGCACGTCTATAGTCTCAGGTACTTGGAAGGTCAAGGGGGAAGGATCGCCGGAGCCCAGCAGGTCGAGGCTGCGGTGGCCGGGAGCGGCCACTGCACTCCAGTCTGGGTGACGGAGTGAGACTCCAACTCAAAAAAAAAAAAAAGAAAAGAAAAATTGGCATTAGGTGGCCTGGCGACAGTGCTGTTCCTCCTCTGCCGGTGAGCAGTGGTCTTCCCGGGCTCGCCACTGATGTGGGAGAGATGCGACCGGCGACGTGGCCTCTCTCTTTGTCCCCCAAAGCGCGGGCGTGGGCCGGACTGGCACCTTCATTGTGATCGACGCCATGATGGACATGATGCACATGGAGCAGAAGGTCGACGTCTTCGAGTTCGTGTCGCGGATCCGCAATCAGCGCCCTCAGATGGTCCAGACGGATGTGAGTCCTGCCATCCTTGCAGCCCTCATGGTGGTCTGGGCCTGGCAGAGCCCACCCAGCCGGCCACCTCTGCCGCACGGGCGTGTGGGGCTCCCTGCCCCTCCCCTCACGGTGGGCCCTGGTTTTGATCAGCGTGTCCAAGGGCCGAGCTGGCTTCACCCCCCCATTCTGCCTCTCCCTCCCCGTGGGACCCGGGGTCTGCTGAATCCTCATCCTCATGTGAGATGGGGGTAATGGCACGCCCCCCAGATGCAGCATGTGGACAATGTCGGCATGCCCCATAAATCCCAGCCGCTACCGTTGTGCTTAGGGGCCTGAATGGTCATGGACGTGGCCATTCCTCGGGCTCTTGTCCCAAACCTCTTTGTGAGGACAAAAAGCGAAGGGGAAGAGGACGGCCCCTTTGAGCTGCCGAGCTCCACGTGGGCAGAGGCTGCAGGACAGAGTCGAGGGTGCGGGTGCCTCTGGCTTCCCTGCAGATGCAATACACGTTCATCTACCAAGCCTTACTCGAGTACTACCTCTATGGGGACACGGAGCTGGACGTGTCCTCCCTGGAGAAGCACCTGCAGACCCTGCATGGCACCAGCACCCACTTCGACAAGATCGGTCTGGAGGAGGAGTTCAGGGTGAGTGCGGCCGCCCTGTGCCGTATCCTTAGGTGGGTGATCGTGGACACAGGGAACGTGGGTGGCTATTTACATGAAGCCTCCTTCCATCATTGTCCCTCTTGAGTCCCCCCAGAAAAAGCAGGGGAGTTGTCCAGGCCCGTGATCGGGTGGTTTCCATGTCCCCGGGCTAGGGAGACTTCTTAAGAGGGGGACAGCCATTTCCTTTGCGCAGGCACCCTTGCCAGGAGCGCTGGTCCACAGGGGAGCAATTTGCTCTGGAGTGTCAGAGGTTTAACTGCATTGTTATGTCCTTCTCGGCTGTAGAAACTGACCAATGTCCGGATCATGAAGGAGAACATGAGAACAGGCAACTTGCCAGCAAACATGAAGAAGGCTAGGGTCATCCAGATCATCCCGTGTAAGGCGCCCCGAGGGGGTGGGACTGGGGCTGGGCAGGTGCCACGTGGCTTCACCGCTGAGAATCCATTGGCCACTTAGATAAACCGAGGTCCACAGCAGGGTGTCCTCTGAGCCCAGGCTAGGGGCTCTTGGGTGCTCTGTCAAGTGTCAGGAGAAGAAAATGCACTAGTGAAGCCCCAGGTGACCCAGGCAGTGTCTCCAGCAGATAGTTTGTGACCGTGGACTTAGAGGCAGGGGAGGGCGACCAGGACTGGACTGCTGGGAAGAGCTTCGAGGAAGATCTGTGCAGGCGTGACTTGATGTTTTTTGATCCCGTGTTTTCTTCAGTGTTCCCCCAAGCCTTGGTGAGGCACGTCCCCTGTTACACTGAGGGGAGAAATGTGGCCACAGGCCTGCAGACAAACTCAGCTGAGACCTTCTAGGAAAAGCCTTCGGCCTTGGGCAGGGCAAGACATGGACAGGGATGAAGTCAGCATACTGGTCCAGGTCGTGGGCAAGGGAAAGTGACCAGGGAGGGCCACGAAGGTGGCAGAGACTGGCAGGGAGGAGGGGCTCGTATGAGGTGAGCATGGAGGGGGAATCCAGTCTCACCCAGTGGGAAAAAAAGAGAAACCTAAGAAATCCGGCCCCAAATGGACTCAGCAGTATCACAGGACACACGGAGGAATGTAGGAGAGCACCTCAGTGGAGTCACAGCTCAACAAATACCTGCCAAATGACCGTGAACAGGCTTGCTTTTCACGGGGTCCCAATATGCACTGCCGGGTAGGAGAAAGTTCCCAGGGTCTGAGCGAAGGCTTCGCCAGTCCCAGACCCTCGATTCTTTGTGGACGTGGTGTCCAAACTGGTGACTCCAGGTGTCTGCCTGATCTCATTCCTTTTACTTCTTAAATACAATGTTTTGGGTGCTTATATTTTGGTCTGTGTTATATTGACTCATGAAAAATGAAAAATAGCTAGATTATTTTCAGAGCTTCCCTACCAAAAGAAAAGAAAAAAAAGCCACTTCCCTGGGCCGCTTTACTTAAACTGTTTTTAATGTAAGCCTTCCAAACAGTTAGTTTTACTCCGTCATTTTGGTGATGGGCTCTATATTTTGAAAGACTGTGGGAACAAATTGACAACTGTAAGGCAGGACCCTATTTGTACTAATTAAAGGAAAACACTGCTTTGCAGATGACTTCAATCGCGTGATTCTCTCCATGAAAAGGGGGCAGGAATACACAGACTACATCAATGCGTCCTTCATAGATGTATGTACAGTAACCTGGCGTGTGCTTTGTGTAGGTGTGTGTTTTCTTCCTGCATGACCATTCAGACTCCCACGCAACTCATCGTCACAATCAGAAAGAATGAGACGCCTCCAGAAACTCAACCACTTTGTCAGCAGAATCACTTGCTTAAAAACCAAATGAATAGTGAATTAATCGACTATGTTTATTCTACCTTAAAATACATCATTTATTTTTCCCTTACACGTCTATTCCATGCTGATCATATCTCCAGTGCTTTCATGCACTTTCTCTTGTGTGCTTTCTGCAGCACGTACTCACACGGCTGGTACAATTGTGTGTTCAGGACACACAGACACAGGCTGTCTTCGTGTGTAGTGGAGTTAGCAGAAGAATGGACCAGAGAGAGCATCACAGCTAGCTACTGTGCATTAATATTCCCATTTGCAGGCGAGAAAGCTGTGCCAGAAGTCAGTAGCGTCCTTGTGGAGGAGCTGGGATTTGAACCCCTGTCCTCCAAATCCATGCACTGGGCCCCTTTGCACCACTATGGTGCAGATCTGTCTGTAACACAAAGAAACATACTAGAATAAAAGCCACCAAGTACAGTTCAGGTGACTACGGGCAACTGGTGATTCATCATGCCCATGCATAGATGACTTCAGATGCTGAAGGTGGAGGTGTGTAGTTTTCAGATAAAACAAGTATCTTGACCTGCTTCTGGAGCGTGTGCGTGTGTGTATGTGTATTCATGCCAACTGGAATTGGGCACAAGCCATGGGAGATTGGAGAGTTGCCCTCATCAGGCCTTGGGCTGCCCCGGGCACTCACAGCAGGTAGTAGAACCAGCATGGAAGGAAGCCAGACTGTAACCTCTGTTCCCCCATCCCAAGGGTTACCGGCAGAAGGACTATTTCATCGCCACCCAGGGACCCCTGGCGCACACAGTCGAGGACTTCTGGAGGATGATCTGGGAGTGGAAGTCCCACACAATTGTGATGCTGACTGAGGTGCAGGAGAGAGAACAGGTGAGGGCTGCTGTCCAGCCAGGACCCTCCAAGGACCATCTGTGTGCCTAAGGTGACAGTGGCCATTCATTACCGTTGTCTCACCTGTCATCAGTCCTGCAAACACATGGGTGAGGCCAAGCCAGGACAACATCCGGAGAGGTTGGAGATGAGAAAAGTTTCATTTCACCCTTTCCTTTTTAGGGGGGGGGTGGTGGTGATTAGGGAGGGAGGGATAAACAAAATTACTCTCCACCCCCAACCCCCACTGGCTTTTATTCTTATCCTACATGTTATTTAACCTGCCTTGAAATTCTTTCATTTGTATTGGTCAAGATCACAACCTGTTGAAGAAAAAGACATTTATTGACTTTTTTTTTTTTTGAGTTGGAGTCTTTCTCTGTTGCTTAGACTGGTGTGCGGTGGCACAATCATGGCTCCCGACAGCCTCCGCTTCCTGGGCTCAGGTGATCTTTCCACCTCAGTCTAATTGAGTAGCTGGACTACAGACATGTGTCACCGTGGCTGGCTAGCTTCTGGGGGGTTTTTTTGTGAGGCAAGGTCTTGCTCTGTTGCCCAGGCTGGTCTAGAACTCCTGGCTTCAAGCGATCCTCCCACCCTGGCCTCTCAAACTTCTGGGATTACAGGCATGAGCCACCACACCGCGCCAACGTTTTTCAAGACATAAAGATATAGACATTGATATGTGTGCTTAACTCATACTGCCCTGGTTGAATTGAATGAGTTAAATGTTTCCCTTTTCACAGAAATCCATCAGTGGCCTTTGTATTGGATTTATTTAATAACATGATAAACACATGTGAATTCACCACCCAATAGAAAACCCAAACTTTTGCCAATAATGTACATCTATCCAGGTGCTTCCTCAAGATAAAACTAATACCCTGAATTTGCATTTTAATTTCTTTCTTCAAAAAAAGTGGCCTTATTGAGATATAATTCGCCTACCACATAATCCATCTTTTTAAAGTATAAAATTCAGTGAATTTCAGTCTATGCGCAGAGCTGTGCGAATATCACCTCTAATTTCAGGTCACTTTTGTCACCCCGAAAAGAAGTCCCGTTCACAGTCACCCCCTTCCCCTAACCCCTGCCAACCACTAATCTACTTTTCTATGGATCTGTCTATTCTGGGCATTAATATAAATAGAATCAAACAACAGTATGGTCTTTTGTGATAGAGTTCTTCCCCTTAGCACGTTGTTTTCAAGGTTTATTCATGTTGTGGCATGAATCGATGCATCATTCTTTTATAATGACAAATAGTATGTATGGATATACTACATTTGTATATTCCTTCATCAGTTGGTAGATGTTTGGTTTGCTTCCACTTTGAGGCTGTTCATGAGTAATGCTGCTTGAACATTCCTGTACAAGTTTTTATACGGACACGTTTTTTCATTTCTTTTGGGTATATACCTAGGAGTAGAATCGGTTGGTCATGTCATAACTCCATATCGTAAACTTTTCTCATGTAACATTTTTGAGGCACTGCCAGACTGTTCCCTGCAGTCACCCCATTTTATTTTTCCACCAGCCGTGTACAAGGGTTCTAATTTCTCCACATCCTCACCAACACTTATCATCATTTTTTTTTAATTAAAGCCATCCTAGTGGATGCACTGTGTGCTTTAAAAAAATCTTTGGGAATCATATCTCCTTATGCCTTGAGAGACCCTTGTTTAGTCTTGCTTGTATTTGAACTTTATATAGGGAGTATGATTACAGCATGTGGTCTCTGGAACTTGCTTTTTCCACTCAAGATCATGCTTTTGGTATTTTGGTATGTGGATGTCAATAACTGTCATTCATTCATTATCATAATTTGATTATATTTCGCTACACAATGATACACCCTGCATCCATTTAGTTATCCCTTCTCCTGTCATGGGCACTTGGATTGATTCCATTTCGTTGTTTTGCGAACAATCCTGCCCATACATTCTTGTACATGTCTTATGCTGCCCAAGGATTAGTGTGTACCCAAGAGTCAAAATGCACACTGGAGAGGATGTGAAGACTTGAATTTGCAAGATAATTTCTAATTGCCTCCCAAAGTGGTCATGGTTTGCACAGTGGACACCAGCACACATAAGAAATATCATTCACCTACACCCAGTATGGTATTCTCAGGCATCCTCATTTTTGTTTGTTGAATAGGTGTAAATGTTATCTCTCTGTGACTTTGACTCGTATCTCTCTGATTCCTGTGAGGTCAAGCATCGGTTCATATATTTGCAGGTGGCAAATTTATTCTTGTACATAATGCCTTGCCGTTGACTCATTCTCCTACTGGATTGTTTGCCCTTTTCTTGGATTTATAGGAGTTCTTTACATATTCTTGATACCAATCCTTTGTTGGTTTCATGTATCGTGTAGGATTTTTATGTATGTATAGGAGTTCTTTACATATTCTTGATACCAATCCTTTGTTGGTTTTATGTACTGTATAGGAGTTTTATGTATGCATAGGAGTTCTTTACATATTCTTGATACTAATCCTTTGTTGGTTTTATGTATTGTAAACAACTGTTTGCAGCCTGTGGCCTTTCTTTTCACTCTCTTAGTGATGTTTGTTGATGAAGAGAAATGAATCTTACTGTAATCTAATGTTTTATGGCATGGTTGGTTAGCTCTTTTGGGGTCTTGCTTCATAAATCCTTGTGTCCTCCAAAGTGAAAAGATATTTTCTTCTTCTAAATGCTTTTGTTTTTGACCTTAAGTCTTAACCCATCTGTGTTCATTTTATTAAAGTTCAAGGCGCCTACACATGATAGTGCAGGTTGTACACTGCTCAACTCTAGAAAGAGCTCAGCCCTGGTAGGGTGTGAATCAGGCTCCAATTTCATTTTTCTCATATAGAAAGCCATTTTTTCAACATAATCTATGTATTAGAGCTCCTTGTCTGTTTGTTGACTCTATTCTGTTCCCTTAAACAACAGGCATTTAGGCCTTCATATTCATATGCTATTTTCTTCCTCAGGGAAATGCCTTAAATGGTTTGAGAGCAATTTTGCATTATAAAACCAGCACTGCCTGCAGCAAATTATTTACCACAAGTCTTAAAATTTTGTTTTATCCCCTAAGGATAAATGCTACCAGTATTGGCCATCAGAGGGCTCTGTTACTCATGGAGAAATAACGATCGAAATAAAGAGTGATACCCTTTCTGAAGCCATCAGTATACGAGACTTCCTGGTCACCTTGAATCAGGTATCGTTACCATAGCTCTTTAAACTCTCGTCAACCTAATGAACCGGGCCATTACTCAAGCTTCTGCTTGTCACTGTCCCAGAACGTGGTCTTTCTGCTATTTCCTGAGTCCCAGATGACTGTGACTTTCCAGTGGGTTTAACAGGGAGCCATGTTGCCCAGCGGCGGGTCTCCTGTAAAACGTGCACCTCCATGGAGGCCGTCTGCCTCCATGCGAGAAGACAAGAATGGCGGGGCAGAGAGGCCGACTCTGAGGGGCGTCCACTGTGAACTGCCTCTGTTTCTGTATGAGGAGAGTGACCTTAGCCAGGGGAAGAGGAACAAAGAGGACAAGGGAGGCCACACTGGTCTCTCGAGAGCCATCCTCTGGGTGGTTTCTCAGAGCCCCTAGCCATCCCCATTCCACTGGGCTCTGCCTACTGACTTTCTCTAGCAAAGCTGAGAACTCTGGGTGAGTCATGGGTAGGACGCCTTGCCTATATGCACAGGGCTCGTTCTGAGCTCAAGACGGTCAGCACAGCAGAGTGCCGGCCCCGAGTCTTGTTGTCCACGTCAGTCACAGAACAATCCAAGCCAGTAGCCCCAGAAGCTGCTCATCTCGGGCCCCTGGCAGAAACCCAAGCCCTGGCTTCTTGAGAGAGGACTCCCCTCTCTCCAGAGCTGCCAAGGATCCCTTCAAGGCTTGGGTGGGGCCTGCGGGGCTCCAAGGGACATCCGCTTTTCCCTTTAGGGTGAGCTTGGCTACAAGCAACCTTCAGGCCTCCTACGTGGGCCATGGGCGGTGCAGAAGGCCCAGGAAGGGATCTGGGTCTCGCTGGATCCCTGGGAGGGCAGGTGGGCCTGGTGCCTGCCCTGGACAGGCTGTGCTGTGGGGGTCTTAGGACCTCACAGCCCCGAGATGCCCCTTGGGTTCCGCAGCCCCTGGCCCGCCAGGAAGAGCAGATCCGGGTCGTGCGCCAGTTCCACTTCCACGGCTGGCCAGAGATCGGGATCCCCGCCGAGGGCAGAGGCATGATCGACCTCATCGCCGCAGTGCAGAAGCAGCAGCAGCAGACAGGCAACCACCCCATCACGGTGCACTGCAGGTGAGTGGCCGCCGGTGCCTTCGGGTGGGGCCTCCACGTCGCCGTGCCGTGCTGGCCACGGGGTCACCCTCCACCCTTCTCTATCTTCCCTCACACACATGCACACATAGTTTCGCAGATCTGCGTAAATGTCATCGTCTAGCTGGGCTCGGCGGCTCAGCCTGGAATCCCGCGCCTTTGGGAGGCTGAGATGAGTGGATGGCCTGAAGCCACGGGTTCGAGACCCGCCTGGGCAGCGAGACCTCATCTCTACAATAAATCAAAAATCAGCCGGGCGTGGTAGCGCGCGCCTGTAGTTCCAGCTACTCGGAAGGCTGAGGCAGAAGGATCGCCGGAGCCCAGCGGGTCGAGGCTGTGGTGGCCAGGAGCGGCCACTGCACTCCAGTCTGGGCGACCGAGTGAGACTGCAGCTCAAAAAAAAAAAAGAAAAATGTCATCATCTCATGGGGCCGGAAGCCTGTTGGAAGGAGGAGTCGGGAAACCGTTCAAATGCACATTTCCAGGTGCTTTTGAAGTCACCAAAAGTTGCCAAAGCAAGGCTCTGAGGGGCGCGCTCCTGCACCTCCAAGTGCTGGTGTTCGTATGAATGACTGCCCTGGTCCTGACTGCGGTGCCCATGTCCAGTCTCTCGCCAGGGCTGTTTGTCCCGAGCCATGCCGGGTCACCCATGCTGGCATTGTAGCCATCTCCTGTAGCCTGAAAGCCTGTCTCCCAGGTCAGACGCGAGGGTTTAGGGGTACATCAAGAGGCACACCTAGACACAGTCGAGCCCTCCAAGGAAGACTTTTTTTTTTTGAGTTGGAGTCTCACTCTGTCGCCCAGACTGGAGGGCAGTGGCCACTCGCGGCCACCACAGCCTCGACCTACTGGGCTCCAGCTATCCTTCCGCCTCAGCCTTCTGAGTAGCTGGAACTACAGGCGTGTGCTACCACACCCGGCTCATTTTGATTTATTGTAGAGATGAGGTCTTGCCGAGTTGCCCAGGCGGGTCTCGAACCCGGCAATCCACTCACCTCGGCCTCCCAAAGGCGCGGGATTACAGGCTGAGCCACTGAGCCTGGCTGATTTTTTTTTAAATTATATTATTTTTTATTTTAATGTAAAGATGTGGTATACTCCTTACTGATAGATTTTTAAAACTTTTTATTAAAAATATCAAATATATATGTGTGTGTGTGTGTGTATGTGTATGTGGAGAGTAGTAGAGAGAATCCTTATGTATCTGCTACCCAGTTATCAACACATGGTCAATTTTGTTTTTATTTCTCCTACTTCCTCCCAATGAATTATGTTA